CTTGTTTAGCTGAATCTCCAGGTTTTGGAAATGTGTGACAGTCTATCAGATAGTTTTGACAATGAAATGAATGTAACATCGTATTATATTTATATTCATAAACGCAAAGGACATGAGTCAAATGTTGTTTAGTAAGTAATGTTAGCTTTTTTAATTGTTTTTGGAACAATTTTATATACGAAGTTACAAAATTTATGTTTGTTGATAATATTTAGAGCATACAAAGATAAAGACTCATTTTGCAAAAGTGATGTAATTAGAAAATTATAGTATACTGTATAATTGTGCAAATGTTTTTTTCGTACAGTGATTTCATATTTGTTACATGTAGATGTAGTTGTGAATTGCTCCATGATGATTATTAAGTAAAGGTAGTAGTTGATTTAAAATGAAAGCAACAATTTCTTTTTTAGTCTGTCCAAGTTTGTATGTTACATGTGTGGTAAATAGCCAACGACATATTTGAAAAAAACTTCATAATTATACCAAAAATAACTGTGCCTTTTAAGTATAAATTCATTCTGCTAAAGCTACCAAATAATAAAACAAATCAAGAGCTTCACGCCAGTCATTTGGAGTTGACAAACCTCGAAGATTACACAATTCAAAATATTCTTGGTGATCCGTATTCCCAGCATTGCAACAAATTTCAACTTCATATAAGGAAATGACTTCATTCAACTGATTTTTATGGACAGGCTGCAATTGATCGACAATGCCTGCAAGTTCTGGAAAAAAATAATTCATCAGGTTTCCAGCAACAGTGTCATGACTGGATGGTCGGATTTGATGGGTATTCCAGTGTAATCTGAAGATATCCAAGTCACGCTGAATGACTTCATGGAAACAAAACCAAGCACATTGCATGTGATATACATTTCCATCTAGTAATAATCTATAGCTCTATGGATCGGAAACCCAAATGGTTTCAATTTACCATAACCGTCTACGTGACAACATTCGTTTGGCCCAACAGACTTGTACTCCCGCTTCTTTAGCCGATGTCGCTTTGGTTTTTCAGTTCCGCCTGGATGAAGTGTTTTTAAAATTCTTTAAACCATGTCTCTAGGTACGCTCAATCTATGCTTAAGCCATGGGATATGCCATATGCTTCAATAGCCTGATACACAACTTGGACCATCCAATTCAAGTTGTATTACTTTAACTATTTCCTCCTCGTTAACGTCATTGACTGTTTTTCTTTCCAGACCGTATTCTTTCAGCCGTCGCTTCAGTGTTGAGAGTGCAATACTAATTCCATAATATTTTTCCAAAAAGCACAAAAATTTTTTCATATTCGTATCCGGAATGAAAGTAAATTCGATGATATCTTGTTCCTTTTTACAGCTTTCTTCTTCGTCATCGTTCACTTGCCGGCCACAAAACGGGCGAAAATTGTAAGTTTTAAGAAGTTCGTTAAAATAAGACGAGCAAAACATTGGACAAAGTTAAAAAAAATAAAACGATGAATGAACAGCATGTTGGATGACATAGTTCTCAAAATTAAAAGTTCTCGAATGTGATTATAGGTGACCGCACAAACGTGGGTAAGAGACTGGGGCGAATGTGTAGTGAGTATTTTAAAATGTGTAGTATAATTTTGAGTGATGTTTTCTTATTCTTTGTTATGTTTTTTAAATTATTTTTCTGGTGGCCCCACTGATCTGAAATAGACTGGATAACGCAACAAACTGCAAAAAATGAAACCGGAAATAAATCTGCCCAAATCGAAGTTGGGGACCCACTTTTCTATAGATTTGTATTACAGAATCACCGTTTTTGCAATATTTTGCTTTTTACGCGTTTCTGATCGAGGCAGTTTTCTTATCACAACTATAGAAAGATAAGAAGAATACTTTGGAAGAAAAATTGCGGTTATTACGACTTCATAACGCTGTGAAAATTGATTCGCAAATTTGAGGGAGTGAACAACTTTGATATTATATACTTTTTGAATAAGGCGTATGATTCTTCACTGAAAATCGATGCGAAATACAGATATAATGATCCTAGAGTAAAGTAGTTTAGAAATTATGTTTGTCAACCATCTATATTCTAATCAGAAGCTAAAGCTGTTATCGAATACATTTGGACTTGGTTGTCTGGTCACTCTGGTGTGGAGAAATATACATGAACCATAAAAGTTCTCATGGTTCTTTTCAAATCCTGCAAGACCAGGCACCCGAATTGGTACCTGACTTGGTTGTTCTTTCCTCTAAGTTAGGGGCACAATAGGATCTACACTAGAAAAATTTGTTACTTATTTCAAGACTAAAACACTTTTATGATTATAATATTTGTACGACTAGATGTTAAAATTTAATAAATACTCTTAAATCAAATTTAAATAAGAGGCAACAGAAATCTTTCAATAGCTATATAGGAGATTGGAATATGCTTCCTGATAAATGAAGACTACTGAGAAAGAAGTATTTTCAATGAACAATAGCAATTTTCCCAAATCATATGACCAGCATTTGTTCGAGACATTGATCATATCCCCCAAAAATGTCAGTAAAACTTTGACCAAGTTCACACAAACTCGTTCTTATCAACAAAAAAATTAATAACATATAGAACCCACAAACCGACCAACTAGTCTTTTATCAGCTACATAATATAGTTACAAAGACTTACCAAATTAAAGTCATCATTTTTGATTCTGATAAGAATACAAATGGTTGACTGAACCTAATTTTTACCCCCAATTCCTCTATGATCATGAATTCTACATTTCAAATCAATTTTGTGACAAAAGTCCTGCGTCTTATTTAGAACAAGCTTGTGTATTGTAGGGTTGTTCACTCCTTCAAACTTGCGAATCAAGTTTCATAGCGTTGTGACGTCGAAATAACGGTAAACGTTCCTCCAAAATATTCTTCTTATCTTTCTGTAGTTGTAATAAGAAAATTGACTCGATCAGAAACGCTTAAAAGGCAAAATATTGCAAAAACTGTGATTCCGTAGAAGGCAGCCGATATGAACATTATGGCATTGGTATGAACATTCATATTGTACAGTCTTGCATTGGTGTTTGCATTTATAATTACATGCATTGTATTCATTGGTATTGACATTCATTCTGTCTTTGTTATTCACATTCATTCATATAGTCATTGGTATTCACAATCATATAATCAGTGACATTAGTTAAAGTTACTTTAAAGTTAATGTAATGTTACTTGGTTGCTTTGATGCAATGGCAAAGCTGGAAAACTATTTACATTTCAAATTGATTAATCAATGCAATTAATGCATAGTTGTGTACTAAACTACTAATTCAATTTATTGTAGTAATATATTTAGTGAAATGTGCTACCATGTATATGTAACTAGAAACTAAATTTGCAAAGATGCACATTCATACACATTTTGTCCTTTACCCATGCAAATGATTTCAAAGACTTCAAATTGCACTTGTCCCTTGGATTCGTGCAATTTTGTTTTTCTTTGAAAAACTCGCTCGTGCATTTTCCTCCTAAATTTCACTCAAAACCATGCTATTACCTATACAAACATAATCGTAATTGTAAACTTTGAAATACTTTGGTGAATTCTTGCCAAAATTTCGATAACTCATAGCAATTTAGTAATACTGAATAGATAATGATGTTGATGTTTAATGAAAATGATTTGAACCAAGGATATCTTAGCTGTTGGTACTGATATAGACCTACGTTTTGACAACCTTAGCGGTAGTCATATCTTCAGATTCAAGATGACTACCGCTAAGGTTGTCGAAACGTCAGTCTACATCAATACCAACATCCCTTCTCAGGACTCCACTAACCTGGGCGATCTTCATCCACAAGCATGATGTTGATATTTGTTATGCGCGAGGAGTAGGAAACCTATGGAATTGCCAATTTACGACACCGAAGAAAAAAACACAGGCGAATTTAAAACTCCGTATACCCTAAGAGTACCCGGAGCAATTAATGCCCAACATAAAGCTGTATGTAGAACCATGAATTTAAACAAAAAAGTAAAGAAAGTTTTAAAAATTGAAGTTATTGTGATTTTTCGTCTTTACCCATTAGACATCTATAGACAGTAATGAATACTATTGCATATTAAATATGATGTTATGACGAGATCATTTCTTATCAACATTCTGCTTCTTTGAAAGAATGTTATATGCAGTGCGGTGTTTTTGAAATTAAAAGAAGATATGATCTTCGCACTTTGCGGGACAATTTAAGCAATTTTCTCATGAAGCTGAAAAATTCAGGTGACTAAACGGGATTCGAACCCATGATCTCTGCGGTGCCGGTGCACTGCTCTAACCAACTGAGCTATGAAGTCACACAGTGCAGAGTAGGTCAATTTGTTGGGTTGATGTTTTCCCGTGAAAGGAATGTCATATGTAAGAGTGTTATATGCAGTGCGGTGTTTTTGAAATTAAATGAAGATATGATCTTCGCACTTTGCTGGACAATTTAAGCAATTGTCTCATGAACCTGAAAAATTCAGGTGACTTCTGCTTCTTTGTTGTTGTTGTTGACATGTTTTTAGTAACTTTTTATGTTAGCAAGCTGTAGTACGAATGCTGTGAGTACGACTACTATAGGAAAACGATCTTGTCAAAGCAGAATCTTGTAGCTGTAACTGTAGTATGAAGTTTGCTAGTATGTCTAATTTGTCGTTGTGGCATAGTACACCTTGTATTCATAATTAACAGTTTATATATGTATTTGTGCAAATTTGTCTTTAACTTAGTAGTCGATATTACTCTCAAGTTTATGATTTTTTATAAAGCCTTTAATGAGCTCCAATTTTCGTTATTACCATACGCTTGATTTCATCTTTCCGCTCTGCCCATTCATGGCTACAATTCTGAATACCGATAAACTCTCCATGAAGAGATAGCCAGTTGCAAAAGTTTGTTGTTGAGCCACTTTTGATTTATCAGTATCAAAATTGCTCTTTACTTACAAACTATGTGAAAGTTATTATTTCCGACAGAGTTAAAAAAAATTAAAATTCACTTATTTTTATAGATCAAACGTCAAGATGCTCTTGGAAGTATTGTTGTCCCTAGTGGCCATTTACCTGGTATCTTACGTCATTCAAACATGGCTCGAAATTAGAAAATTACCACCAGGTCCCATACCCCTTCCCATCATTGGAAATTTACATCAACTGGGAAATAATCCTCCATTTTCCACCGCAGCACTTTGCAAGAAATATCCGAACGTACTGAGGCTAAAGTTTCCCTTTGGTTACTGTCTATTTCTCAACAGTGCACAAGCTGCTCGAGAGGCGATGCTGACCAGAAAAACTGACTTTGCTGGTAGACCAGTTGAGCAATTTTACCCGTTAAGTACCATATTAGGTGAAAAGGATATTGCCACTTCCGATTACGGACAAACTTTTGTATTTCGCTCGAAGGTTTTTAAAAGCGCTATGCATTTATTTGGTGATGAAACACAAAAACTCCAAAAGCGCTTCCAGGACATGGTTTCGTTGATGTTTCAAAGGCTAGACAAACTTGTCGGAGAAAACGTTAATTTAAATAAAGTCGTAGAATGTTCAACTTTTGCGCTTATGTGGGAGTGGCTAACTTCTGAAAGATTGACGCATGATGATGACAAAATGAAAAAAATCATCGAATTCAGCGAAAAACTGAATTTTTTGGGACGCCAAGGCAGCTATTATCAGCTTTTTCCTATAATGCGTTATTTACCGACTAAATTCACAAAATATCTCAATTACGTGCTAAAAGCCAGGTATGATTTGTTTGGAAAGGCCTTAGACCACCATAGAGCTACATTCAAAGATGGAGTGATTCGCGACATCACTGATGCAATGTTATTGTCTTATACCAATGAAAACAATAACGGTAAAAAATCCCTGGTTCAAATGATGACGTAATGTTCTTAATGATTGACGTAATCTTTGCTGGCTCTGAGACTAGTGTCTCTGCTTTAAATTGGTCTATCTTACACCTGGTTCTCAAGGAAGATATACAATACAAAATACAGGATGAATTGGATAGATGTATGGAGAAAGAGGACATGCCAGATCTTGGAGAATTAAAAAAATTCCATTATTTGAGTGCTTTTGTTTGTGAGGTCTTTCGCTCGACTACAAATCTTCCCTTTCTGGCGCCACATCGCACTATACGCGACACGAATGTTATGGGCTACAACATACCTAAACACATGACGGTGTTTATAAACCAACATAGTATCAACTACGATCCACTTGCTTGGGACGATCCAAACACTTTTAGTCCAGAGCGTTTTCTTGACAAAAATAGCGAATTTGTCGGATGGAGTGCACTCACGGGCTTCATGCCGTTTGGTCTGGGACGACGTGCCTGTCAAGGAAAGGAGCTTGGAAAACTTCAGGTTACAATGATGCTTGCCTGTCTTCTGTATCGCTACCGTTTTAAGTTAGCTAAAAATCAAGAGCCACCTAAACTAAATGATCCTATTATGGAAATAACTGCACGTCCAAAAGACTACTTGGTGACAGTTTTGAAAAGGAAATGACATGAAGACTTATTATTCTCTAAAATATGTTACGATTCTCTACAGTCGACCAAAACACTACTTAAAAATTTGGTTTGGTCATGATTAAGACCAAAGTGCTTTATATGTTTGTGAATCACCGAATGATATAAATGGATCACTGTTATAAAAAATCCCCAAAGTTCAAGTACGTAAAGAACTGACCAAAGGCCTTTTCACAAATAATGATACATGTTATTCATTTGTTATTGCAATTCAACAGTTAATAATACTTTTTTCAAAATTCCATGTTATAATAGGTATCTAGAGTCAGGTGAAATAAAATTTCTCGACGAACAAAAATTGACAATTTTGTATTGACAAAAAATAACAAATTAAGTGTGCAAATCAAGAGAAATCCACGGACTCTTTTAAATAACGGAATATTCTAAAACTTCTTCCTGAGCTTAGGTTCTCTACTGTGAACAATAGGGAACTTTAGCAAAGACTAAGAATAGGACTACGAGTACGACGTACGTCATTTTGGCGCGAAAACATTTTTGCGACAACAACAACACGCCCTCGTCATCAATCTAAATACGATATTTTGTAAAAAATTCGTAGACGCGACTACGATGTCTTTTTAAGCAAAGAAAGTAGGTATATTTTTTCATTGTGTAAGAAATTAGTTTACAGTACTATTTTCGATCATCCAGGCTTTACTTCAGAACTATTTTGAGCACAGATGTACATTTAAAACGAAAATACGACCAGCAAAACTTCCATGTATTTTGTACGCAAAGTAAAAGGTAGACAAACCACAAAATAGTACAAATATATGCAGAAAATATAAAATCGTGAAGTTTTTTGAGTCTAAAGAGTCCAATGTTTTTGCAAAATCAGTATTTCCGACTCGTTGATCATTATTGATAAATAAAGCCGTAGCTCCTTCGCAAACTTCTGTGTTTTTAACAATAAAAGAGCTTTTTCTTTTTGACGAAGCGACGACGACAACGATCGTGACATACCCTTACACGGTCAAGCTTCGTACTAGTTGTCGTAGTCGTACTCATGCTAAAGTTCTCTATCATCTTATAGATAGCTACCTCCCACTTCTATGGATTAATTAATTAAATAATTAATTGATTAATTATTACATACCAACACATTATTCTAAATGTTCTATTTTCATTTATCTCATGTAATCATTTTTTTGTGTAACCTGTCATATGAAAACTTTCTTAAGACTGATTTTGAAGACAAATCAAAAATGGCATTATCATAACGCCTCGTGCCCGATTTTAAAGTAGAAATAGATCCTGGTTTATGCATGTATTGACTTGCAAGTACACTAAATAGCCTTACTTGATAGGCATACTTGTCTGAGCCATGACAAAAAAACATTTCCATTATTTACCAAGAAACTCAAATAGACTTTCTATTCCTCTCTAGTAAATATATACTATAAGTCACCACTTCAGGTTGGGATCAGTGGCGTATCTAGTACAAAATTTTTGTGGGTAGCCACGCGCGCATATGTTATACTGCAAAAATTAGAAGAACAGTCGACCGATTTCCAAATCATTGACCTTAATGAGTGAACTGGATGTAGCATAAACAATATAGTTTTCTAAATTCGTTTCGTTTACGCTATAATGGTGCAGTAATTTTCCTTGTTTGTACTGACAATAGTGAAAATTTAAAAGAATTGCTAGCCATTGCAAACATGAAGTGCATTTTGTTTGATCGAATGATCCGTGAGATTGAAGCAACGTATTTGAATTGGGTTTAGGTATGTACACTCTGTGACTCAGGTCACAGTGCTTTTACTTTTTTGGTGAATAAAACGTAAAGGAGAAAGCAAATAAATGTGTCATACGAGTCTTTAATGCACTAACTAATCTTGAAGTTATAGTTTCCCATGAAGTCAATCAATTTAAAGTGCGACGCATTGTTTATCAACTGCTTGGTTCCTTCTGGTCTCTGTTCTAAGTGTTTTTGTGTTAAATTAAAGACAAAAAGCTAGTTCATCTTTCTCTCTTTTGATACATAATAACAAATAATATCTGACATTATCTATGTGGATTTAAAACATACCAAAATTACCATAAACATTAACTCAAAATATATGTTAAACCGCGTCAAACTATGATCAGGAAATACAATTAAATCCGAAATGTTTGCTTGATCCATGATCTTAAAAAAAAGAAATTTCGTAAATTTTGGCCAGTTTTAAATTTTGTCCGTAAATACTACTTTTTGTTTGCCAAGTCTTACCATAATCAAATCAAAACAGTTTCATCCATTGTCATAATCCCAGTATTGTACCTTGGTAGCAATAGAAAGATGAAGCACGTAATGTTTTGCAATTAAAAGTAAAAGAACAATACAATACAATTCAAAAAATTACTGCACCATCTTTCTTCCTGTGTGGAAGGGTTAGTATGCATGGAACATGATAATATAAGCAATGCTCAAAGAGAATAAAAAGTCTGCTAAATAATCATTTCCAATTCAAATGACATCTGAAGACAGAAACACTTTATCCGAAGTTTCATCATCAGTTATGAATATTATAGTTCTACTGCGCCAATCTGCCATTATTACCAGCAAGAAATGATATTATACAAATAATACGTAAATATCAATCAGACTTCAAAGTTGATACATAATGCATACCACATCTTTATTTATGCATATGAAGACTGCAACAGTATTTCCAATACTTTTTCCATCTTAAACTTGCATTTGAAGACAGCCACATTTTTGTCAAAATTTCAGCAATTAAGACAATAATTCTTCTGCAGCAAGGTGGTATTATTACCAGAAGTGATGTTATGCACATATATATATATATCATATAGTAACTATTACAATTTTTTCAATAATATTTTTATACAATACTTTAATTAAATCCAATTGTGTATAATGTATATTATTTTCTCTTTCACTATGATAATAAAAGTAGTTATCCATTTTTTCTATAAATATGTCAATACTACCTTTTTCGCTAATTATCCTCCCTTCATCGCATAATTTGAAATTAAATTTTCTTCCATCTTCAATTTCTTCATTAAAAATAATCATTCCACCACCATTAATGAAATTAGATATATACTCTGATTTCATGATAATTTGACTTAAATCTTTTTCTTCATCAAAATCTTCACTGCGCTCAAATGTAAAAGTAATACTTTGATTTGAAGATTTTCCCGTCATCAATTAAACAGAAAAACATTCAAAGCAATAATAAATCTTTTATTGAAGATTTTACATTATCGTTGGCAAAAAAACCCGTTTGTTTCTTATATAAAAGGGTAATAAAAAAGGTAGGAAATTCGAATTTTTTTAAAAAATAAAAATAAGAAAAAATATGATTGAAAAGGTAAGAAATTCGAATTTTTTTATAAAAAAATAAGAAATATGACTTTTTTTAAAATAAAAGATAAGAAATGTTAATTTTTTCTATTTATTTACTAAAAATGTAATATATAAATCATTTAAATGTAATATATAAATCATTGTAGGGGAAGATAAACATATTGGTATAGAATAACGAAAGATGGAAAAATATGATATGAATGATGCTCATGACCCTTCCAAAAATAAAGGTGGATTATTTGGAAATCCGGCATTTGGAAATTCGACATTTCGTGAATTTAATAATTTTACTTCACATCATCTTTGTCTTCTAAAAAGATGTAAGCAATCATTATGTACAAAATGTATCTATTGTGAAATTGAATCTTCAGGAAAATCAAAAGTTTTTTCTGAAATTAACAAAATAACACCATTAATAAATGGAAAAATTACAAAAATAGAAGAAAAACTTGCAGAGAAAATTGATGAATTTATAAATCTTCTAAGAATGGAATTTGAGTTTAATATTGAAGAAATGTATGAGAAAATAGAAAAAGATATAAAAAGTTAGAAAAAGACATAAAATAAGATTTTTTTTCATTAATTTAAATAAAATTATTACAAAATAATAATATGGGAAGAATGTTGTGGAGTTGGTACTTGTAAAAAAATAAAAAAAATAAAAAAAAAGAAAGAAAGAAAACCATAAAAGAAACCCTCACAATGATTGTTTACTAATAATCATTGTGACGCTTGCTTTCATGGTATTATTTACATGATGTCAAAGAAACTGATAAATGTATCAAGACGCAATACAAGCCAAAATGCTAAAACACTGAACTGTATTAACTATTTTGAGCTGCACTCTCCTAATATCCTAATGCAAAATGTGGTTACAAAAGCAAATACTTAGCAGGTGAATTTCTTTGGAGGGGAAATATTGTTCATTGGTTGCAAAATCGAAAAGAAAGAACTCAATAGAATCAACTTTTTTTTGAAGAAAACGATTATTGTCCATTTCGATATAAATCGAGTAGAGTTGATGTTGGTTGTGTTCCTCGTTCTTTATATTTGTCGTTAAAGCAAAAAGAAAATGATTATATTGATGTTTGCAGTCGCTTGCAGTAGTTTTTTAAGAAATAACTCATTGCAATAATCAAAGAAAGTGGTAAAATCATAGTAATAGCTCATAATAATAATCATTATGTACTGCTCGTCACCGAAGGTGTGTGGTAATCGTATGAAGTGGAACAATACATATTGTGTATGTTTACAAATAAGGACATGGCTTTATTTTTTTTTATCAAGATTCTATTACGGAAGACGAGCGGTATTTTAGAGTTTTTAACAACACATTGCTATATTCCAATTAATATCATCAATAAATGTCTCAAGACTCTGGTATATCATCATTGATAGGAGCATCAGAATTTACAATATGTGACCAACCAGCTAAGTGGAATTCTTTTACTTGCGTTTGTATACAAATAGAAGTTGGCATAATTGGTTTTGTGACTATAAAGTTAGTAAAAACATTGATTCATATTTGCGATTCTTTCTTGTGGACAATGTATTAAAACAAAACGATTTGTATTATCAGTAAATTGGACTTTGAACTTTCTATAATATCATTTAAAAATTGGACTTTGGACTTTCATCAATGAAAATCTTATGTATTGTATAGTAAATATATCTTCTTTATGAAATATATCTTTTTGTGTTATATTTGTTTTTATATATATTTTCAGTCGTCTGCTGGTGGATTT